AAAGACTCATCCGGGGTTGATTGGAAGATACCTTGGTGAGTTCATAATCACTGGGGAATTAAAAATGATGGACATGGACTTGTCAATACTTTTGCTACATCTGCATCGCATCAACTTCGTCAGATTTGCCAACCGCGCAGTTAACTGCATCGGATCAACTTCGTCAGACTTGAAAGCTTATCCGAATTGATTGCAAGATATGCTCGAATCATTGTGTGAGTGACAAAGATCTGTCATTTTTGTTTGCCAAATCTGCATCGGATCAACTTCGTCAGATTTGAAGCTTACCTGAGTTGATTGGAAGATATATCCGAATCATTTGAAAACATAAAAGAGGATGCAAGGGGTGGGGGCTGAGGATGTAAGGCTTATAATTAATGCTTACCCCTTCCCCATTGAACACAGACGTTACTAGCACCATCCCACCCCCTATCCCACCCCAAAGAGCTACTAATCCTGAGAAACGCACAACGGCAAACGATGCGCTAGCTCAAACATGAGCAGGCCATCATCCAGAACAGCTAGAATTCTGTTTGGCAATCAGCTTTTTCTTGTAAACACCCACATTACATCAGCAACTGGTGGGCATTGACCGGCAGGGAATTAGGTGGCTCGCGCAAATACCCATGTTAGAATCCATTAGTTGAAGTCTGCTTCAGAGTGTTGCTCGAAGGATGTTCAAAGGAATGCTTCGCAAGCAATCCACGAAACGTACCACTCGCCTTCGAACCTGTATTGTCGGATGCACTCATCAACATCCCACACTGACTTATGAATTCTACAGTACCGGGTTCGCCCTAACCTCTGTGGCCCATGAGTGGGCCCACAGACGACGGCTCGCCGAATTGCCTCACAAGCACAAAGCACGAAGAACGCACACTGCATGGCAAGAAAGTACCCAACAACGTCCGGAGCAGGATCGGCCGATCTTCACCCGACACATGATCTCCCAACCGCACGTACAATAATTCCAGCCTGCCAAGCTCGAAACAGAATCGAACATTGGAAGGTGATTTCGGGACCCGCATGAGGCGAAGGACACCACAATGAAGACCTTGCTTAAACACCATCGCGACGGTATGTACTGGCAATGAATCACTGGACCCAGCTTCGCTGTGACGGGAAGCACGGCAAAAGAATGCCAGGAGTTCATTCAGTCTCAAAGCATCGAGGTAGCAGCTCGAGGGACGGAGTGGCAATCTGAGGCGACAGATAAGGATGGAGCCACCGTGTTCACGGCAGCGCCAGGACTTTACACACTTGATAAGGCGGGAGCGGATATGTTGAGGGAAGTGCAGTTGGATAAACACTCGCCCATTGCGAAGATGATGGCTGCGGCATTTGGATTGACGGAGGCCGTGAGGAGCCGAATGCAAGCGAAGAATGCACATATGCAAGCGCCTGCAAGGAAGCTGATGCAAGTAAACTCGGCCGTGGGCCTTCCATGGACAGTAGTCAGGGGGCTAAAGAGGGGAAAATATTAACCTCGCTTGTGGCACCATACATCGCTGGGATAACTCTTCAGCGCCTCGGGGTATCGTCAACCGGAAGAGTTTGATGCTAGACCGATACCTGACATGAACATAGATTCCGAGTCGCCGATAGCGAGCTCATGGGGAGTGATCATCATGTCAAAGCAACGCGGAACATGTTGAAGACCGCGTTTGATTGGTCGCAGTTCAAGACTCACAACCATTAGGTAGGTGATAGGAGACTTCGGGAACCACAACGGGGAACCCGGTAACCGATAGTGTTGATACATTCAGAGCATGGTGCGAATGTCGGCCGCTTTCGCGTGCATTACTGCCACGGGCAACTGGGGCAAAGGCTCGGTTTGCGAAACTTGAGTTCACAAAAGGACTGCAGCCGCAGGACCCGCAAATCACGTCGAAGGATAAAGCTAGCTCAGTGCCCTGTGCAACTTCACCATGTGATGTCGTGGGCATGTGGGGCAATCGGGCCGTGCACACCTGCCTACAGAACTTACATTGCAACATTCCCAGCTGACGCAAGTCTTCTGCCCCATTGGCCACAGTGATAGGAGATGTGTGTCATATGCTGTCCGACCTTTGGCGACAACAGCTTGCAACAGGAAAAGATTTTCACGGAGGAAGGAGAACCAAGGTCCAACTATGGACCATGGCGAAAGTTCATGGCAACATGACGTTTAGAGCGATGAGCGACGGACATACGCGCGCTCTAAGGCTGTGCTGCTGCTGTAAGACATGTCACGCGTGCAAACGTGGAAGTACCCTCACCGAACATGCCAGCGGCGCCGGTTGAGCGTTCAACCAACGGCCAGGACAATCAAGGAAGCCAGGTTCAGACATGTTCAGACGATGTTTTTGCGCAAGCAACACAAAACGAATCGCCGGCCCTTCCGCATCTGCTTGCGAGCAGCCAACCGAACAACATCACAGTTTTGGAAGTCCATCGCGAGTTTTGCGTTGGTCTTCTTGCACTCCTCGGCATGTTCACGTTCATACCTCCGCTGACTCCGTCAAGGCAGCAAGCTCGGCCTCGAAGTCCTGAATGGCAAGCATGAGGACCTGACCAGCCAAACCTATCTGAGCCGCAAACTCCCCCAGCTATCTGAACTTGCAATGTCACTTTACGAACCATGACTGCCGTTCGGTTCTTGCCTGGCCAGGCTTCAAAACATCGAAGTATTGCAATCACATGGCTATGAAATTGGCAAATATTGGCAAATGCAGGCCTGGAAAAAGCTGCGGATCCACAAGCACCAGTCCTGGTCCCGGTCGTGCTGCTCGTGCAGGCTCTGATGGATTTGCAGTTGTCGCCTCTCGTTCCAGTTGGGAGCCTTGAACGAAAATACACCGGCGATACCAACGACTATTACAACCACGATGTATGACTATAAGGTCAAGGACGACATCGACAATGATCACGACGAGGAATGGCTGCTTAAAACACTCTCCGCTCCGCCAGCCCAGAACAACTGGTCTTGTCCAAGACGCCTGTATGCGTTGAGCGCCCATCATGGGTTCAACTGCCAGATCGAGCAGCCAGTTATCTTAAACCCTTGCACACCCAATTTAAAAATCAAACTCTTCTGAGCGCGACGGAGTGCTACAACGCTGCAAGTGCCGATCCAATCCAGCTCCGAATGAAGAGCTCTTAACGAAGCCTCTGCTCCTAGCGGCGCGTGGCTTGAACCGCAGTTTTTCCGTAATCAAAGCAAAAGCCAAGGTCTTTCCGCTTTTGCAAGGCAGTCAGTGAATCAGCAAACTAGAACAACAATTAACCACCATGTTGCAAACAGATCAGGTCGAACCTAATTGTGTGGTACGAGGCCTCCAGAAGCATCAGAACCAAGCACGAATGTTTGCTGCCAGCATCTTTATACGGGGTCAACATCACCTAGATCTAAACATCAACATGCAATGTGTGTCTATGTGTGAAGCCAGGAACGTCTGCACAAAGAAACTACGGCCAGCAGCAGACAAACGCTGCAACAATGCCAGGGCCTGCAAACGACGAGCTGCTTCCTCGAAGATGTCGGTGTCAGCGTTCACCAGGAGATGCATCTCCAAACGGCGTATTTTTTTTGCAAACATGCCAATACTCTTGACACACAGGAGGATTTAAGACCTCCGTTCGTGGTTACCCATACCACGCAGAGCCTAAACTTGCGATTGCTGCCTGATTTCTAACGGACCACACGGGCATTAGAGAACAGCCTGAATAACTGCCGTAAGCGGGAAGGCAAGCGTGCTTGCCGTGGCGCGCTCCACACGCGTCCCACAAAGCAGTAGCCGAAGGAGCTGCATCAATGTCCCAACTGGCCGAACCGCACAAATCCTAAAACCAACGGCATGCTGGGATAGCTTAAAGAAAAAACCGAACATCAAACGAAAACCTCTAAACCCCACTGCCACGGGCTACAGCAACAGCACTGCTTAAGAAGTCATTGGTTTAAGAAATTGAGCCTCTCGGACAGCCGTGCGATAAAAACATATATACAAAAATGCGCACATTCAAAATAAGAAATCCAGGGTACCCTGGACTCAGCGTGCCAGTTCCTGATTTTGTTCTTTTTCATTTTTGTCTTCGCTGGTGTTGTTTGAAGGCTGCCACGCCCGAGTGGATAGGCGCGCGAGCTGGAATGGGACGCGCTGCGGGCTCGAACCCTCCTGTATTCTGATTTGCCGAATTTGTCAGTATTTGCTGCCGTTTCGAAATTTGGGATAAAAAATCCAGGGTACCTTCAAATCCCGAAACGTTGATTTTACTAAGGTGCGCTTCAAAAATCAGAAATCGAGCCCCCTCACGAAAAATTAACTGTTTCTCAACCGGCGCTGTCGCTGTAGGATGGCTCAAAGACATGCCAGCACTTGAGATACTTCTCCCAAGCACTCTATGGTGGCAACGTGAGACCTGAAACCCAACCCAACTAAAGCAACGAACGATTGCAAGTCTGGCCGGTACAAAAAGAGAGCTATAAACGGCTCCTCTCCTCCGGCCTGCTTCCATGCTCTACTGTATCTGATTTATCCATCTATCCATCCAAATACATTCCAAATACTGTTGCGTGTTTGTTGTTATAAATACAATTCCGCTGCAGTCAGTCCTTTATTCCGCTGGATGCCACGCATTGCTCAGGATCGTTTCAAACGCATAGTGGGCACTTGTCGCAGACACTCCTTGATACTTACCTGAACACTTATCTGCTCCACCGAAGCTGACTTGTCAAGTGCCCATTTGTAAGTTGTTCATTGTCCTTGCGCTACACAGGCGCAGGGAGGCACGAAGCCACAACAATCTCTACAGCTTATGCTGGCAGAACCCTCGGACCGGATGCATGCTGCACCCTGCTTCACTGAAGCAGAGGTTGTCTGCATCTGCCCTGAAGCGTCTGCCTCTATCCGGGAGAACTGGGTCATGGCACGGGACCTGACGCTGAAGCTGAAGGGCTTAAGGGTGCGTCTTTGCTTCGTGTGGCAAAGATACTTACGGCTGCACTCGGGCAGCAATGCAGATCAACTCGTCCCGTCGCCGTTCTCCGCATTTAGCGTAGCTCTCACAGCTTTCAGTTCTTCCTGGCAGATTGCAGACACTTGAACATCGGCGCAATTGAGAAACGCTGAACGTGCCGGTTGCGCCAATTCCCGCTCCCTTTTGTCTAGGTCTTGCTTCGTGAAGTCCAGCTGCTGTTTGACCTTGGCATGCGAGCGCTTCACAAACACTGCAACTGCCCCACTCAGTAACTCGGTTCGCCACGGCATCTCTGATTTCGCCAGCTTTTCTGGGATCCAGATTCCTTCACGGGCCGCGCCGCGCGTAACACAGACACGCGCACACACACACACACAAACACACACACCCAGGACAGGTTCGCAGACCTTCTTAGAATACAATCGCCTAGTAGATGAATAATGCTAAAGGGCACACACAAGGAAACACAGGAAAGAATTCAGCATACATACTCCGATTACTTCTTGCTGGGGGTGCTATCTGGCGGCATCCTGAAGAAGAGCCTAACATCGATATCTACTTAGTCTTCTGTGATGTTAGCATGGGCGAAGCAGTGTGAGTGTGTGTGTGTGCTTTGGTTTTTATGAGCTGCCACGTACTGCTCTGTCAGTGTTGCCCCATCTCAGGGCACTCCGGCCTCTGGCCACACCTTGTGCCGGCACTGAGCAAAGATGAATCTCGTCACGAGGCAGCAGTGCGCTGGGAGAAAGCATAAGATGGAAGACTTTGGAGGCCACTGTTCACACAGAAACATAAGGCGCGCAGACGTCCATGGCTACGCCGGCAGCTCTCAACATCCCAGGCCAGTCCTGAATATCATCATGATTTGTGGTGACCGTCGCCATGGAAGGCATCCCATCACGGCCTCGCAAAGAGGGCACAAGGCAGCTGTTACTCTTCAGATTTCACGCCACCTCCTTCGACCAGGAGCCAGATGCAGCTTGCTTGTCGACGGGCTGTAACTTCAATCTGCGCTGTCCTCACACTAGGCACAGGAACGACGGACCCCAGCCGGAAACAACAAAAACCAGGTCTGCCAAATAATCGTTTCAGCTGAGATGCCTTTCGATCGGAGTGCCTGCTACTGAAGAACAGCATGGACGACCAGAGCAGTCTAGTACACATGGACAGTTTTCAAAGGCTCTAGGCCAAGACAACAAGATAAACTAACAATTGACGGGCTTTGGCAACAAGCTTGGCTGTGGAAACGAGGTGAACAGTTCAGTAAGGCACGTGCCTGCGCAAGGGAGATTGAAGCAAAGGCCCACGGCTTTTTCTGAGGGTCCAAGTCGTACAATACCTCGAGACAGGTGTCAAACTCGGAAGCTCTGTCGCACGCCCGCGCCGCAAGGAGCTGATCGGGCGCACGATCTGAATGTAAGTTGAGTTCGGCTTGTACTGCAACGGCAAGAAGATGCTTTCCCTGATGGAACTCAGTTCCTTTCCTGGCCCAGACTCGAACTGACAAGGATCCCAATCCCTGGTGACGTGGACAGGCAAGTTGCTCGGCAAACAGCACCACAAGGTCGTATGCTAGTGTCGAAGATACGGAAACGCCTGGGATGCTGTGCGACGATGCTTCAGCCTCTGCCGGAGCATCCAGCAACGGTCCTGGAGGCGGCTGGAGCCAGCAGGGGGATGAAACGTGTGTTTGCAAATACTGCAACTGCCGCCGAACTCGGCGGAGCTGGAATATGACAATGAGATACTTCCTACTTCGAATTCCTTGCGAGACAGAATGCGAGTGAACTCAAACGAGCCTTGTCGAGCAGGATCCTTATCGAGACACCGAATCTCCACCTTGCGCTCTGCATCCTCCGTGCCCTGCCGGCTGCGAAGCCCATCCGCAAAAGGCACACTGACATGAAAGGCTGATCTTTGCAGAGCTGCCTGTGGCGGCCGCCAGCCGATCATGGTAAGGACCTCAAGATGGAGATGCAAGCCTCCGGTATTCAAGTGATGCGCAAAGTGGCTGGCCTCACACCAAAGGATGATCTCCTGCAGAAATCAAATGGAATTTCGACTGAAACCTCCAGCCCAGCTTCCTGACAGGCCTTTCCGTCCATGTTCGATGCGAAGCCGTCTGCCGAAGCTCCCGAGCCACCGCCACCTCCACCGGCAGCCTGACAATCTCACATGGGACGGTCAGTCTGCTTGCTGGACAGGAGGATAGTGGAGTGAAGACAGCACGACTTGCTGAGAAAACTGTGGATCATGCGCAGTGGCAGGGAGCTACGGGCTGGGTGTGTAGGGATTATTACATATCTGAGTGCATCTCGTGACCGTGGCACCTAAGTGAATGCTATCGACATCACAAGGATGCTTGCTTCGTGCGCTGAACTCGGCCATCCGAATTCCCGTTGTGTCCGCAAGGCACTGAGTAGCTCTTCCAGTGGACACTGCAGGATACTACTTATACACATAGATGCCCCCTTGTCCCATCCGGGGTAACGTTTGCTGTCTGGCAAGCCGAACATCATGTAAACGATGGAAAGCAACGATTTTTATGCAAATGGCAGGTCTTACACCTCCAGGTCACCCTGAATACTTGCTCTACACAATGCGACCAGCCGTTTTCAGTAGCAGGTCTATCATGACCGCGTTGGGCCTTCCTGTGGTATCGGCTTTCAAAAGTGGGACAAGGGAAGCAGAGCAGCTGGCAAGGTCGGCGAAGCGCCGGCCTGACGACTGGCGCAACAAATGGCGCTCACCTCGGAGCCTGCGAGAAGAACCTTGGTTGCACATGATCCTGTAGTTGTGATGGGTTGAGTTGGCTTCAGGCTCCCTCTGTCTCCAAGGAATTCCCACTGAACGAATCCGCAGTGCTGCAAAAGTGCAGGAAACCTGCATACGCCATTTCGCGAAATCACTGCCATGCTGCTTAAGAACAATATGGATATACCATGACGGGGACTAAACTTAGCCAGCACAGGCCCTGTAAGAGTGAAATTTATTTGTCCTCGCAACACCAGCTCCAGGCGGACGAGGCGCTGCTTTGTTCGACTTGACACTGCGGTTCACCACGAACTGAGCGAAAGCTGGCAAGCTCTGCAATGCTACATGGCCAGATGCAGCTGACAAGGATAACTCTAGCTACTGGTACCTGTGAACTCAGAGGTTGAGGCTTTCACGACTGTGAGAGGCAAGCGGGAGTCCAAGGCTCGAGAACTCCAGAGCTGCTGTTCTTTACTTTGGCACTTTGGCAGATGTGAGCAGGTGTGGGTGGCTTCGCGGAGACCGCGCCTCGTTTATTCAGCTACGCCGCTTGCGAGGGATGGGTCCCGCAGATCAGGCAACCCAAGCGGTGAGGTCCAAGAGGGGCAGGCGCTTTGAGGGACGGGCTGTGTTGAACACTGTCCAGCCAACGACGGTCATGTAAAAGAGGAAACATTGCCGCTGAATATCTGGCACCTGCACGACACAAGTCTGACATCAAGCCGAATACTGCCTCGTTGTCAAACTACAGTGCTCGCGCGGCAACTCCCACAACTGCAGCTTTGCTGTGATAGCTCCTTTCAGCGTCGGCCGCCTGGTACTCATAAATGCTGGAGAAGAGACGTATACACTCCGGTGCCTGACCGTACAGCAACAAGCCTGCTCCAGCTCAATGCCTGCATTTGCAGCAATGACTGAGCAAGCGCGCAGACGTGGAGAAGCCGCCTTGGTCCTTAGGCGCATCACACGGAGTCAACAAATTTCGTGATAGAATCATAGGTGCGCAGGGTGCGCAGATACCTTTCATCGAAAACTGGGGCGACCTGTAATTAAGTTCAGACCAGGCTCATATTCACAAGCCACAACATATGGACGATCACTGGACAGGACAGTGCCATCACCCATGGGCGGCAAGAAGTACAGAACGTACCTGGCTTCGTCCAAACCGGAACAATGCACTCACCCAGCACCAGCCGTCAGAGAGCTCGGGCCCGAACGCTATGCCAGCAACAAAGGCAGTAGTGTGGGCCCAAAGGCCAGCCAAATCCCTCTGAGAGATGCCACGAATAAACCTCGGTTCGAGCTTTTGGTTACGAAGCAGTCAGCCGTTGAAGCCTCTGTGCTAAATGCTGAGAAGACCGCTCCATGGCTATGTGGAAGCCCACGAAGATTAGGCGAAGCCACACCCAGTTCTGGCGCCATGCAGACATCGGCCAAGCATGCAGAGATTGAACGGACGTGTCCCGGCACGAGTCTGGTGAACTCGCAAACGTTTAAGTGTCCGAGAACCATGCTGCTCGTAGGACCACGACGACCAGTCCCCCACTACGACCCCCGCAATAACCGCAGAGCCCACAAGAAACCACCAGCACACCACCACAAGAGCACCAAGATATGGCCAAACTGCCTCCCCCCAAGCATTCAGAACCAGGGCCGACTTCTTTCCCTCCAAGATTCGCGAGCCCGGCCAGAATGCTTTGCCCCCACAGCCAAACTGTTTTCCGCAAACTGTTGGTGGGATTCCAAACCTCAAAGAGCGCTCGGTGTAAAGAAGACTGGTTAGGGTAGCAGCACCGGATACCGCTCCAGTTGGGCAGGGTGCATAGCGTCCTATCGTTTACACGAGGCTCGATTCAATGTGAGTTCCTATACTTAGCCCAATCAAGAGAGACAAGGAGGGAGCCAAGGGAAGACAAGCCTTGAAAATCCCAGCATTGGCCACCCACCCACCGGCAGTGTGAAGTGTCGGTATTCTGTTTCGAACTACATTAATAGGAACCTCCGCCGCAAACAGTGTGGGGACAAAACTGTTAAAGAAAAATGAAAAAAGCAGCTGCATAAACATGGTGGCGCTGCGTTTGGAAAACTGTAAGTGCACCACGGCGGCGTGGCCAAAACTCGAGCGAAACGCTCGTTTTGCATAGGCGAGAAGCTTTCGTACGTGCAGAAAGCACTACGTGTAGAGAGTCATGCAAACTGTTCACGAAACTGCAGTTTTGCTCGGCTCCTGCGACGTTTTGGGTATTTCCTCTCAGCGGGCTTTGAAAACTGCAAGTTTGAAGAGCATGCTTGCTTGAAAATCGTGCTCTGACCACACGGGGGGGGGGCGTTTTACTCTGTCCGCATTTTGTGTTTCGGGAGGCCCTTGATTGCAGAGGGGGCTCTTGGCAAGGGACAGCTGCAAGAAGAAAAGCTGCAAAATCCTGGTTTGGCCACAGCGTGGAGGCGATTGACACATTGTGCTGTGTTTCTTTGGACTAATGTTACAGAAGTGACAAGCTCCAGGTATTCCTGCACTTCAAAAATGAGCATGTCTCGAATCGCTGGAGCACTCCAGACGTTCGATGACGTTCGTACCGATTTCTCGCAAGCGTATGAGAGCGGAGACCAACAGTGCCAAACATCGCAAGGTCCCCGTACTGTAAGCAGTACGTTGCGAACAAAAGCTTTGAGGTCTGAAGGTTTAGGGTTTACCGTGCAGGACCATGAGCACGAAGACGACCACATGCAACGATCAAAGAGAAAACAAGAACAAGCAGTGCGCAACCATCACCGTCCATCACCATGCATATCAACAACGCAGCAACATCAAGAACACCCGATTCAAGGAGGATGTCACCATCATGAACATGAAGACAAGCACATGCAATTATGTGCTGACACCGCACGTCACTAAGCACCCCCCACCCACCCCACACACCCCCAAACCGCGAAACCAACAGACAAACCCTACAAACATAACCCATTGGTTGGGAAAGGTGACGATGTCAAAGTTACGTCATCAAGCCCTCCTCCACCCTACTCGGACATGCGTGCAAACACACCTCTCAGTACGGGCGCAGCCTCCGCAAACATGCCAATGTACATAAATTTTCTGCGTAAACACATATATGTCCAAAATAGATATACAAACATGCAAATAGGCATATTCTACTAACATTCACATATACGACCAGAAAACATCCAAGTATACATGTGTATCAACTTATACCGATGCAAAAGTATATAAGCACATAAGCATGCAAATATGTCAGTGTATAACTCTGCGACTGAGTAGACCTGTAACAACAGCGACAGCACTGCTTAAGCAATCATGGGTTTAAGCCCTTGCGCCACCGGGCAGCAGCGCGAAAAAACAATCAAACAAACACGCAACTTTTGAATCGATGGTACTCTCACCTCAGCGTGCCAATGTCTTATTCGACTCTTCCGGATGGTCTTCGCTTGTTTTCTTCGGTTCCAAAAAACACCGAATTAAGAAGCTGAGTGGCTGGATTTGGCATGGAAGGACACCCAGAAGGAGGACTGACCCCACGGTCTTCAAGGGCTTCATATAGGGTTATGAAGGGCTTGATAAGGCTGTCATAGACAGATAAACACTTAAACGCATGGCTGTGTATGTGTATGTACACGCCCACATACACGCATGAATTCTGAATATTTGTGGATACGAATGTATGAAGCGATAAGCATATGAATGTACATATTATGCATGTTGTGTGTTGTAGGTCATGTAAACAGTACGTACACCATGCATGCAACTGCCCCAGGGTTTGGAAACAGCTCTGCCTCGAAATTACGCTGCACGCTGGTAGTGGTATCCAGCTTCGCACCTGCAGCTCGTGCTGAGAACTTGCGCAGGCAAGTCTTCTGAGAGAAAAATGTTCGTGCGGACACTGATTATCTTCACTACACCATAAGAGGGCTCGACCAGCGCCGCTGGAAGCTCCAAACTGAAAACTTCTCGACCCTCACATCCCGAAACTCAAGAAATCAGCAACTCTTCCCACCCTAGAACCTGCATAGAGTGCATAGAGGGCCACGATAGCCCCTGAGAGCCCGAAGCCCAGGGTAGAGGCACCTGGCCCCGGGTCATGCTTGCACTTTGGGGCAATGAAGCTTGATCATGTAAGGACTGTTGGGAGAATTGTGCCACGGGGCTCAGGGGGAAGAGGCCTATGGCTATCGACATAGAGAGTGAACGGCTCAGAGGTTCAGAAGGCATCATCAACGGAGGCAACCTCCACACCGTCTGTGATTCCTTCGGTTTGAAGTGATTGTCGCCATCTGCAATTGCGATAACTGCTATGGCCTGCAAGGCTGATCGTAACAGTTGTTGAAGTGCCTAACCCGCAGAGTTGAAACCAGTTGAAACCCGCTTGGAGCATCTTGCTTCTCTGTCTCCCGAACCCACCCGACTTTTCCTTAACTCGGACGCTCACCTAGATGCCTAGTCACCCCTTCGTGCCGTTATGACTCGGCGTGGTTCCCCGGAAGTTGAACTCATTTCAGCGAAACCCTGCTGTGTTGAGAACTACCTCGCCCAGCCCATATGTTTCCCTGCTCAGGTGCTGCCTGCAACGACGTCGCCAAACTTGATCCAAGTACTGCACATCCCACCGATCGCAGAGCTCACCAAAGCCACACCCAGCGTGTGGGCAGAGCCCAGGCCTTCACAGACATGTGCACATCTGACCACAGTGTTGCTGTGCTTCCTTGATGCATGCGCGGTACCAATGCTGGGGTAGCACATGAAGTTCTGCTTGGCTCCAACCTCTCAAAGATGGTGTGACAAGCCAAAAACACTCGAGTAGACTGCAGAACAAAGGCTGCCAAGCCACGCCACACTTCAAGTTAGAGCCGTCACCCAGCACGATGGGTGGTGTGGCCTGAAAGACAAGCGTTCGGCAGCCGACCAGCATGCATCATCAGAGAGCATTTATGCAAGTCTGGCCTCCACATCTAAAGTATCCAAAAGCGTCAGCAAATTCTGGAACAAGTCCAGAAATTGCAAGTGAAAAAACGTGAAGGTGAAGAAGCGCCACGCCTGAAGCATCAAGACCGGAATAAACATCTCAGTCTGTACATGGCATTTGCACTAGGGCCTAGGAATGAAGATGATCTGTGCTGAATATCGCGAGAGCTATACACTCACTGACAGGCCACTCTACTGCTCTTCGATGGTAGACCTCGTCAACCTCAGAGGGTGTTGCGAGCTTCATGTAAGGTAGAGTCCAGCATTTGGCACGAGAATACGAGTTAGGCTTGCAAGGGTAGCAAGAGTAGCGATCCGACAGCAACAAGATGTGACAAGTGAAAGTAGGCGTGCGTACTTCGAAATAAGGGGGCCTTTGAAGATAGCGGATAGCAGCACCAACAGCAAAATTCAGTGGTCATCCTGACAGCCATCGAGACAATTATCACTAGCAGCGTCATCGTCGTCATTACCATTGCCATCATCGGCATCCTTTCACGCTCTGCTTGGCCTCGCCGCGTTTCAGCGCTGGCCCAAAGATGGGCACACAACGCGTCCAGGGAATGAGCCCACCGGTAAACTCCTCCAGGGATCTTCGGGTTTCGAGCTTCGGCTCAGGGATTTTGAGGATCTGGGGACCCTGGCAGATGTGGTTTAGGGACCGGACCCTCTGGGTTTGGCGCCTACAATGCTACAGTTCCGAGTGCGAGTTGTCACAAAACTCCAGAAACTACAGAAAACCATGGCCGACCGGACAGCGGCAGTGTCCTCCACCTTGCGCACCAGAAGGCAGCAGAAGAACAAGAACATGTAGCCAGTGATGACCGGGCAAGCGTCGACGACGCTCCACAAATCCTGGCACCGGCATACGTGATGATTCAACTCCCCGTGTATAAGATGGCACGGCGGAAGCAGGTCCATGAAGATCCAAAGAATCGGTGGACTGTTGATTCCGTACCTCAGGGCCGGCACCAGTGACAAGCAACCGGCACATAGGTCTTTGAAACAAAACGATACATCGTGCTAGCTGCCCAACACTCACAGCCTGCCGGAATGCACAGATTGCAAAGCGAACCCTCAAAGGCCCGCATGACATCTCATTCTACATCTGATGAGACCCTCGACGATGACATCCTTGCTTTTCAGAGCATGCACAAAACTCGCCCTCGAGTACCAGAGCTTGACAAGTCACGGAGGCCACCAGGACACCGATTGCCCCTCCATCTGCTCAGCCAGTGCATTCACCTCAGAGCACAGAAAGGCAAAATCCTCCCATCCGTCACGTGGCCTCACCAGAGCCTCGGGCTTTGAAGGTGTATTCCTTACCGCTCTCCGAACAAGCCCAGCATCTTTGGCCCTGGTGCGAAACTGTCACTCGACCGCTCTCGATCTGGCAGGCAAGATGAGGCCCACAGGCCTGTGGGGTTCGGAGTTCCAACTTGCGGTCCTGGCAATGAGACATTTGGCCACGCGAAAGAGCTTCGAGGATGGGGGTCGCACTGTCGAGCGGCGGCATTCACCTCGCTGGACAGAAGCAATGCGAGGGGACTCCCCACCCTCCAGTCTTACGAGGCCCCCGCAAGGAGTCGTAGTGCAGGTCCCCGGCTCGGTCGCACCTTCAAGAGCTAAACAGCTGCCTGCTGCTTGCGGCAGCGCAGAAGGCTTGCATCCAAGTGCTGAGCAGTGAAGCGCTGGAGTGTGGGCAGTCCAAGTCACTCCTGCCAGTTCGAGGGCAGATGACTCTCGCCCACTGGAAGGTGCAGTCTGAACAGGGGGCTCGCAAAGCGGAACCCTGTGCAAACGCAACAGATGCTACATGATAGCACGATCCGTAGCCTAGGGCCTAGAAAGCTGCAGTCAGCAATTACACTTCAGCAGGAATGCAGCTCTGTGAATATCCAGAACCCTCCTAAGCTCCAAGCTCGGAAGGCTGCTCTCGAAGGAACCCGGAAGCCACCGCTGTCTCTGCTTCATGACACCCAGGGACCCAGCGTCCTTCGTCTGGCCGGTACACCACTGAGCAGACCCGGGACTGCCCGACCGGTAGCTTCACATCCTGATGCGGCTCATGAGGGCTGGAAATCGGTAGCTCATGTAGCTTGGAGTCGAGGGTATAGGCTTTCGCTACCACAGGGATCGCAAGTGGCGCCGCGGGCTCAGGCCAGGACATCTGCCGCCTGACCACTGCGAACTCCGAGAACTCGGATGGATGCCAGCGGAGAGATGCCTGGAAGGCACAAAACTGTCAAAGCTACGACGTCCTGCCAAAGCTTCTACCATTCTACGAGTTGTCTCGATATTCGTGCCACTGCAAACAGTACGTCTATCATTGAGATCACTGCAACAGTTGGACCTTTATCACGACAATTTCTTGCAAACTAAACTCACCATCGGCCGCGGTTGAATCCTTGATAATCATCGCGATCGCTCTTGCTTTTAATTGTCGCCGGTGCAACCTGCGTTGCAACTATGTTGTCTTGACGCTGTTTTGACCACATGTGCTGCAATAGCAACTGCCCTATTCGGACAGTCTCATTCGTGTTTTTCTCCTGGTCTCGTCACCACTACTTTTGCTTCTACTACGACGACTACACCACTACTACTACTACTACTACTACTACTACTACTACTACTACTACTACTACTACTACTACTACTACTACTACTACTACTACTACTACTACTACTACTACTACTACTACTACTACTACTACTACTACTACTACTATTCCTACTACTACTACTACTACTACTACTACTACTACTACTACTACTACTACTACTACTACTACTACCACTACCACTACCACTACCACTACCACTACCACTACCACTACCACTACCACTACCACTACTACTACTACTACTACTACTACTACTACTACTACTACTACTGCTACTGCTACTGCTACTGCTACTGCTACTGCTACTGCTACTGCTACTGTACTGCTACTGCTACTGCTACTGCTACTGCTACTGCTACTGCTACTGCTACTGCTACTGTTGCTACTGCTGCTGCTACTACTACTACTACCACTACTACTACTTCTACTACTACCACTACTTCTTCTGCTACTGCTACTACTACTTCTTCTACTACTACTTCTACGACGACGACTGCTAATACTATCCCGATTACTACTACCCATCACTACTGCCACCGCTTCTCCCACTACTGCTACTACTGCTGCTGCTGCTGCTCTACTACTACTGCTACTACCGCTACTCTACTACTGCTTCTACTACGGCTTCTACTACTGCTACTACTGCTACTCCACTACTGCTACTACTGCTACTCCACTACTGCTACTGCTGCGACTACTGCCAGCACTGCCACCATCGCTACCAGCGCCACTACTGCTACTACTGCTACCACTGCTACTACTGCTACTACTACTACTCCTCCTGCTGCTGCTGGCAATAACACTCCTCGCTGTGTGAACTATGCTTCAGGTTGCCGCAGTTTGCGTGCAGCTTGGAAAACTTAGCGATCAGTCTGACACTTTGATCAGCGTTTGCCGGAGTCGCTGCTACCATGGTAGACTCCATAGAAATCTGAAGCACGTAAGTGCGTGGCGGTGACAAGCATCCAGCTTGCGCAGTGCCATGTCCAACTGCTCTTCGGCCGGAGCTGTTCGCGCCATGACCTTGTCCACATTCAGGGCACCCCTCGTCTAGCCATAAGCCAATTCACGTAGTTTTGTCAAACTGTTGCCGACTTCTGAATGGATTCACCACCCACCCTCCTGTCGAACCAAACCCTACGCAACGCAAGTCAATCTCAGAGATATAGAACGCCATGACAGGTAGCGGTATGTGAACAAGTACACAGTTTGGAGGAGATATGCTCGTCCGGCCTGAGGAATGACAGTTGTGTCCCACCGTCGGCTCATGACGACCTGCCACTTGCACAAACTGTTGCCGGAGTTCCGTAAAGAAATCTCCCGGTGCACTCTGCCAAGAGCATGACAGCTGCTGAAGCACTTTCTGGATCTTTCTAGTCGTTCGCGCAGTCATCATGCACGCTGGCGGTTTGTGAGGGATGGAGTATCGTGGAGTGGTAGCCGCCGAAGACAAGCCCTACGTTGAGGGTCCAATATTGGTCTGCACAGCTCAGGCCTCTGCATACAGTCTTCCGCAGACGCAGCAAAATTACTTTGCCCACTCTATTCATGACTGTCTTGCCACACTTCTAAACAGATGCATCCGGAATCCAGTACGAGTACTCTTGTAGCCCCTACACGCCCTCGCGCATTCAAGCGGCAAGCCAAACAACCGTTAGAGGCTCTACTTGACGACATTTGTCGCAGTTTTCCACACTCGTTTTAGTTGTTCTTCTCCCTCCCCAGTTCCCCCTTCCACAGGAGAGCGCACACAGCCGTACCAAAGGTCGTCATGAGCACCGTCACAGCCAGGTTCTTCGGCCTGCGACGATGAGGTGGATTTAGGAATGTTCCAGGAACCTGCGTGTGGATCAGCACAAAACCAACCACAAAACCTGCCCAGGCCTTACAATCTCGAAACAATGGCTTCTGCGCCACGACCGTACCAGTTAATTGCACGCAATCACACATGCAAAATCATGCGCATGCACCACACATATGCTCCGGCATGCGTATGCTGGAGTGTAACTCACACATATACGCACAGTATGCAGGACGCGCACAACTTGCCTTTGAACGCTCTTTCGGAATGAAAGCACGGGAACCTGTCGCATGCCGCTATCGACCCCAAACCAGCAGCAGCTAAACCCCATTATCTTGCAACCTGGGCATGCACTGAGTAAGTACAGGGACCCTCCAAGTGAAGGGTTCCTTTAAGGTGTCGGCCTCGTCGGATGCTATCTCAATTCGTGGGGTAAGCCCCTGCCGCACCTCGGCTCTGGGTCAAGCAACCTTCTGCAACTCTGAAACCAGCGGTCACTTCGTGCTTCGCACAAAGTCATTGTCCGATATTGTCCGAAGCTCTCTTGGGATGAGATCTGCTCAGGGTGAGTCTCGATGGCCAATGTACTTTAATCCCGGCAACAGTCCAACACGGGGGGGACACCACTGCAGACAGGGCACCATGGCCGCAAGACCTTTTCGCACATCGTTGTCCCATGGCAGGCCGTCCTTGCAGTGCCACAGTTCTATTCTGCGGGCCGATTGCTCAAGGTTGCCTCTCTCTCAGATCTTCAAGAGTTATCTTCTGCAGATGCAATCGTCCTGACACCAGCACATCCTCAGATCCCTTTGTATCGGAGCACCGAGGGCCTCGCCAGCGCATTCGTCACAAGATGGGCAGCTGAAGCATGCGACGCTGGGTTCGGGGTTGTTCGATTTTGAGGTTGTAACGCCTGCACAACAGCATTCGACAGTTCTACGGGCTACAAACCAGGGACTGGGTCCCCCGCCTCAGCCGTGCAGGACACCTCAACAGTACCCCACATTCTATCTTCTTTCTGCAATGCTTTGAAGATGAACAGGTGTGTGGCCAAAAGGCTGAGTGAAAACCGAGGCCAGTGCCACGCCGTCGGAGTTGATTTCTCGAATGGAGTCGCCAAGGACAGTACTAAAAACCTTGCTGCCGTCCAGAGGCCAGGGCGAGCCACGTGCATTGAGGTCCTACAGCTCACAGACCAGCACTTCCCCCGAGGTCAAGACCAAGGTGCCCACGCACCGACCTTCCCGGAAAAAGCTCAGTACACTTTCACTGCCGAACTTTCACAAGAAGGCCGGGCGGACAAGTTCCGCCCATAAGGGCGCACGGCCGCCACATGTCGCGCAGTGGCCCTGCAACCGAAGTCCTCCCAGAAAAGTATTTGACGGCAAAGGGCAGGCCCAGGTTCCCTGGCACACGGAAACAAGTGAGCGGTGGCATCCTCAGCTGCGGTGTTTCTGCTGCGTCTGTGGAAGGTGCCTGGAGGAAAGCATGCAAAGCTTTGGATTCTGTAGCCAGAGCAAGGTGAAGGTGGCTTGCCTCGTCTGCCGGGTCGGTTCCTTCGCACCCAGTGACACTGACGGTTCCCAAGCGACAGCAAAGAATTCTGCCGACAAGGCTTGATGCTGCAACCGGTTGGTCGGATAAGCGACGATGACAAAGGCACAATCGTTTCGGCTGCATAGGTCCTCCGCTGGCCAATGCCTCAAAACCCCGCCCCCAGCGCAAGCCACCTGCCAATTTCAACGTAATTGTCTCGGTGAATTGCTGGCCTGAAGGGCAATCCCACGCAAACAAACTTCACACGGTAATTATTCACGACAACCCGAAATTGAAGCTACACAAACTCACATGGCAGACTCCAGCAACAACTGCACCGAGTCAAAACGTTCAGCAGCAGCAGCCGTATCAGTCACCGCCTGTGGCAATGGCCGCTGCTGCAAAGCTGCCAAGGCATAACCTCTACGACATGCAACGCCAGATCTGCTTACGTTTCGGGCACGCCTACGCAACCCAGTTAGGCAAAACATCCGTGAATAATTGCTCTTTGTACAAATCCTGGCAGGGCCGAGGACATCGGAGAATTCTGGGCTGTGGCTTCTGCGAGCGCCTGCGAAGCGCCAAAGACCGGTTCCGCGCCGCGCGCGATTGTGCGCCCTGACCGAGAGCCGGGGAGTTGTGGAGTATCAGAGCCGGAAGTATTGGGTTCAGGGACTTCGCACTGCCCTGCGACAAGAGGCAACAGCTTGCCTCTGCGACCGGGTATAGGGTAGAACAGTAGGACTTCTTGATCTCTGCTGAACCCGCTAAAAATGCAGCCGCATGCTCTACCTCCCTCACTTCTGTGCCGACTCAAACCCAGATATGCCAGATGTGCAGACTTATTGCATGCTCGTCGCGCCTCTGGCGCTCGTCTAGGTAATGCCATTGATCAGTAAGGCAGCACGTCAGGCAGGAGCAGTCCTTCTGCCGACGAACTGTTGCTGGAAGCAACCGAAAGAGCCGGAGGCAGCAAGAGAAATTCTGAATGTCGCACAAGCAAGACTGTGATGCTCTGATCTGTCCAACACCTGTATTTTCGGCTACCACAGTTTCAAACGTGTGCAGGTGATGGGAGGCTTCCTGCTCTCTCTATCTCTCGCTCTCTCTCTCTCTCTCTCTCTCTCTCTCTCTCTCTCTCTCTCTCTGGAATGCAATCCTTGCTCTGGAGGCACGATAGCATGTTCGTTATCCGTACGCCGACTGTTCGCTTTGGAGCAGTTGCGGCATGCGACTGCCAAGGACGAGCCCAATTTCAACATGTTCACCCAGTAGTTAAGTGAGTCGTTTTGGCGGGTTTGTCCTCGCGCAGGGTAAACTAGAATAAAGAGTGAGACGCGGTGGAGGTCAGAGATGGTACATGAACGAGTGGACCGCAAGCAGCTCGCTCCTGGGCTGGCAACAGACGGAGTAGGAGCAGTAGTAGTAGTAGTAGTAGTTGTTGTTGTTGTTGTCGTAGCAGTAGGAGTAGCAGTAGGAGTAGCAGTAGGAGTAGCAGTAGGAGTAGCAGTAGGGGTAGTAGTAGTAGTAGTAGTAGTAGTAGTAGTAGTAGCAGTAGTAGTAGCAGTAGTAGTAGTAGTAGTAGTAGTAGTAGTAGTAGTAGTAGTAGTAATAGTAGTAGTAGTAGTAGTAGTTGTTGTTGTCGTAGCAGTAGGAGTAGCAGTAGGAGTAGCAGTAGGAGTAGCAGTAGGAGTAGCAGTAGGGGTAGTAGTAGTAGTAGTAGTAGTAGCAGTAGTAGTAGCAGTAGTAGTAGTAGTAGTAGTAGTAGTAGTAGTAGTAATAGTAGCGGTACTAGGAGTAGTGGTGGTAGTAGTAGTCGTAGCAGTAGTAGAATTCTAGCAGTAGTCGTAGTAGTAGTAGCAGCAGCAGTAGCAGTAGCAGTTGCAGTTGCAGCAGCCGTAACAATAGGAGTAGGAGTAGAAGTACAAGTAGAAGGAGTAGGAGCACTAGGAGTGGTAATAGTAGTAGTCGTCGTCGTAGTCGTAGTGGTAGTAGGAGCAGTAGTCGTAGTAGTAGTAGTAGTAGTAGTAGCAGCAGCAGCAGCTGAATCAGCAGTAGTGATAGTGAAAGTCACAGTGACAGTGGTAGTGGTAGCGGTAGTGGTCGTGGCAGTGGTAGGTGGTGGTGGTGGTGGTGGTGGTGGTAGTAGTAGTAGTAGCAGAGGTAGTAGTAGCAGCAGTAGTAGTAGTAGCAGTAGTATTAGTCATCGTAGTCGTAGTCGGAGTCGTAGTAGTAGTCGCAGTAGTAGTAGTAGTAGTAGTAGTAGTAGTAGTAGTAGTAGCAGTAGTAGTGGTAATAGTAGTAGTAGTAGTAGTAGTAGTAGTAGTAGTAGTAGTAGCAGTAGTAGCAGCAGTAGCAGCAGTAGCAGTAGTAGCAGTAGCAGTCGTAGTAGTAGTAGTAGTAGTAGTCGTCATCGCAGTTGCAGTGGTAGTGATAGTGGTAGCACTGTGGTAGCGGTAGGGCTAGTGGTAGTGGTAGTAGCAGTTGTTGCAGTACCAGTGGCAGCAGCCGCAGTAGCAGCAGTAGCAGCATCAGCAGCAGCAGCAGCGGTGCTAGCGATAGCAGTAATCAGGGGCAGCAGCAGCAGCAGCAGCAGTGGTAGCCGTCGTGATCGTAACCGCTACAGTACTTACCTCAGGCTGAACAAAATATGATCAGCGAAGCAGCAGAAGCGAACAGAACTTGTCTTCGTCGAGCGTGAGGTTGCAGGACCTCGGCCGTGTGCATGGCAGGAACTTGGCTCATGGAAACTATGCCGACCGAACATGACCGAAGCCCGCAGGAACTGAATCAACAGTGCTTCTTCAATCCTGAGCTCGGATTGGAGCCCATCTCCTGCATCTGCATGGCGTCGGAAGATTCTCGTGAGCTCCTCCTTTCCAGAGACTCTGCGCATCCGACAGGTGCTAACCTGCCCCTCATCACGTTTCCTGTACATCTACGTTCACAGATGCACAGACTGATCGCACACCGTGCGACACCTCTGCCAGACAACAAGAGCGAATTGCTGCAAAATTGCCGACCTGTGTGGATGGGACAGATACAAGTCAGCATGATGCGAGATAGATACATAGCTCCTACACACACATGTGGAAACATCATGTCAATCATGTCACTTTTTCTGGAATCCACAAGCACAGCATGCAGACGCACACACTAAACTCGCAAATGGATGGAAAGGTACAGATCGACAGATCAACACACGGGAAATCCATGGAAGCATATGTTCTATGTTGGGACAAACAACTGCAGACACGTTGCATGCGCAGCTGCATGGGGTGGGACGGGATGGGATGGAATGGAATGGGCCGGACTGGACGGGAGTGTGCGGGAGGTAACATGCCTGCAGACAGATAGACAGACATGACGAGCAACCTACTGGGTAGGCAAACTAATTGCCGCCGGCATTTCTGCCTTGTCGGGAGGATCGCGGCCCAGATCCCCATACAGCCTGGAGTGGGCAACACCGCGAAGGGAACAGGAGATCTTCCTCAAGCTGTGAATCGCTTCCCTTGGACCCCAAGTATGAATGCTGCACGCTCTGCAAGCTTCCACTGCAGCCCGACAATTCCCATCGCTCGGCCTCATTGCCAATTTCCCCTGCCACACCTCCAGGCCCAGCCTCAAGAACATGTTGCAGGAACATTTTAGAAGACTCGAAAGACTCAGGGGTAGGAATCTGCCCAAAAGCGCAGCAGACTGCTTCGGAGTTCGGCAGCACCGATTCGAAACCGCGTGCTCGAGAGTGAGACCCTTTTCTCCTGATCTCTGCCTGATCCGAAATCGTATTGTTCTGTATCCTGACCAAACAGCTTCGCTCCAGATTTGCATCACATCACAGGCAAATGCAGCTATGAAGCCTGCTTGTGGCTTCAAGGATTGCATATCGTGTCTGCGATGCCCGACATGGCCGACGAACTGAGTCTGAAGCAGTCCATTTACTGCCCCGGCAGCAGACATATAGCGGCGAGCCTCCCAATCCAAGGACTTCAGTAGAAGCGGTGTCTATGTCGTGCAATCAACGTGAGAGGGATCGTTGGAGGGATTCTCCCTGGTTACCGATTCCCGGACAGCTATATACAACGAAAACTTTGAGCAACAATTTTGCCGGAAAACTCTCTCCAAGCCCGTCAGCCTGACACACAACCTGGTGACGGCAGTCCACATGCCCAAGCCTTGTAGCGAATCCACGAGGGCCTCAGGTCACGGCCCGGTGCTTCAGCATCAAAGGGCGGGACTGCACGAAGTGAAGCAGTCACCTTGAGATTCTGGGACACTGGCTCCTGCAGCATCTGCCTCTGGCTGGATCAAGGTCAGGCGTGCAGCGAAAGCGAGAAACTGACCCTGATTCAGCTCCAGCTGCTCCCTAGATTTCTTCCATACACTATCACCCTGAACCTCTGACTTAAAGTTTCTTTGGATTCCGTTTGCCGCGGTATGGCAATTCGGAAGAGCAGCCTGTTCTCGCGCCCTGCTGCATGGACAAGAAGCAGAAGAGCTGCAACATCAAGGGCTTTCGAACCAGAATCAGCCCTCCTCCTCCCCGGCACATTGAACATCTAGCAGGCTGTCCAGGAACCGAACATGAATGTTAAATCTTGTGTTTCCGACCTCGACCATCGAACTGCCAAAGGGTCCTGAAGTCAAACACGTCCTCAATCTTCCCCATCTACTCCTTCTCCCGTTCCTGCCTGCAGTTGACCCCAACCTCTCAATCTAAGCAAGGCGGCCCACCTCGCGGTTCCAGCGGCCATGGAGCCGAGGGAGTAGTAACCTGCCGAGACTGTCGGGATGCGGGGAGAATGCTACTACCAGCTCAGTAGCGAGCTGCTGAGCTTTCAACTTGATTCAGTATCCGCGGCCCCGCAGCTGCATAAGCTGTGGCGGCAAATACGAAACCTCTGAACTGAAAACGACAAATCCCAAATTATATACATATATTATATACTACATGTGCCTTAAGCCATGAAGGCCACACCCTGCCTGGCCTCGAAAAAGCCCTTTGCGGTCGCAGGAGCTGCACAGGTAGAAGCCGCAGAGCGCGCACTGCGTGGAAGGATTCAGTGGGAAGACGTACTGTGCAGGTTCGTGATTGGGGGCGTGCAGTGATTCAACTTTGTTGGGCTTCGAAGCCGGGCGACGACGCTTTGGATTGCGTAAGTTCGGGTTGGGGACTCGGAGAATGGAGAAGGCACACCTCTGCAGGTTTCAGACAACTCTGCAGCTTTCGTCAGGGTTGTGCTTTAAGTATGCACCACGGCCGCGGCCGTCCACCCGGTGCCTCGAGCTTTCGCTCGACGTGGGACAAGTTCTTCCGGCAGATCCCTGCACAATGCAAACTGATCCCCGAATCCCAAAGCCAAATTGCCAAAAGTGTCAAAGTGTGATTTTGAGGAAGAGACCGCAACAGAAGCCTGACCCGATCCAGGCCTAGGCAAGGCACGATCTCATTCCCTTTTCAATGGCTCGCAAAGTTAATGCCGCATGCTGCTTGGGGCCACACGATTGACCACTGGTTCTCGGACTGTTGCATGGGGTGCCCCTTGGCCAGCAGTTCAACTCACGCATGGTCACTGTCCGACAGCTACCCAAAACTGGACACCGTCGTAGCAGAAGATGCAAAGTTGAGCAGCGAGCCTGCGCGCAGTGCGCATAGACGACTGCTTTGCGCCGAAGGACGTTCTGGATGCCAGGGTCAATCCTCCTGCTTAGCTTCCACAGGAGACGGCATGGGCCATGGGGTTCCAAGCACACGAAGCAGGGCGTCCCGAGCCCAGCTCGAAGCAATGCACCAAGGCCTGGGCCACGGCTCGGCAAAGCGAACTTCTCTGCGTGCGCTGTGTGTGCATTTGGCGCCGGGCCAACGGAGGCTGCAAATGCGCTTTGCCCTCTGAAGGAGAAAGCTGATCCTGAGGAGACCCAAGGTGCCACTACATGTGGACCACCTCTCGCAGGGATGCCCAGATAAGATGCCGGCCAGATGCTTCATGTGGGCGCAAAGAGGTTAGTGGCACCTTGCATACTGATAGCAACCCGAAGCTCAGGCTGCAGGACTCATCTCAACACTTAGCCGGGCACAGCTTTTCGATACTCTACATGCCAATCCCAGAACTCCCCAGCAAGCATACAGAGCTTGTGACCTTGGCTGCAGGTTCAACCGTTTGAACTGGATGCACTTGGGGAAGCGTTCTGGGTCTCCCTGGCGGAACTGACCATCAGCGATGACTTCACCGGTGAAGTGTGGGATGCCTGAACCAGCAGGTTCTCTGCCTGAGGACCCTGGTACACCTCTTTGCCCTAACACAAACACGAAGATGGTACCGAATGATACCAAAGCGAATCAACTAAGCGCGCCATGAGTATGGACACGCCTTGTTTAGCATGCTTTATGAGAGGCTTCTGAAAATTTGGAGTTCCTCTACTACCAGGCAGTGTGTCTCGGTGCGAACCACTTTCGAGCATTACTGGCACAGCTGAGGCTCCAGCTGGACGAATCGAAGTAGCAAACATCGCATGTCCCACTGAAGGCGTCTACACTGGAGACCTCCGTTGCTTTGGACTCCACATGAGTCTACAAGTTGATGTATGGTCCCATCCCAGCTGAACAAAACCATTCATTGTCAACCGTCTCTGGCAGACTTCGATTGAACTACGATCAACATTCTGTAAATTCGAACCCGCTGAGAGTCTGAGAGTTCTTGTGTTCTCCGGTGGCATCTTGCCTGTGCCAGCTTCACTTTCTGGCCGTCCGGGGGCGCATAGAGGCAAAGGTCACCTGCCAGCCCTGTAGACAGTTGCACTCTTCTGACGCCGCCACAAGATCTGGCTGAATGCTCCCTCCGCGGGTCCTCTCCCGATTGAGAACGAATTCGCAGGACACGTGTCTTGGTGTCTAGACCACGTAGCTAATCCTCATAGCCAACTTTGGCAGAAGTAGGATTAATGAATGGTGCAGTAGCATGAACAACTGCAATGAAAACGGTGGTGGTAGCAGCAGTGGCAACAGTGGCGGTAAGAGTAGTAGTTGTTGTTGTAGTAGTAGTAGTAGTAGTAGTAGTAGTAGTAGTAGTGGTAGTAGTAGTAGTAGTAGTAGTAGTAGTAGTAGTGGTAGTGGTAGTAGTAGTAGTAGTAGTAGTAGTAGTAGTAGTAGTAGTAGTAGTAGTAGTAGTAGTAGTAGTAGTAGTAGTAGTAGTAGTAGTAGTAGTAGTAGTAGTATAAGTAGTAGTAGTAGTAGTAGTAGTAGTAGTAGTAGTAGTAGTAGTAGTAGTAGTAGTAGTAGTAGTAGTAGTAGTAGTAGTAGTAGTAGTAGTAGTAGTAGTAGTAGTAGTAGTAGTGGAAGTAGTCGTCGTAGCAGCAGCAGGAGCAGTAGTAGTTGTAGTGTAGCAGAAGCAGCAGCAGCAGTACCAGTAATAGCAGTAGTAGCAGGAGAAGTAGTAAGCGAGGCTGTACTATCACAGCAGTTGCGGGAGCTGTAGCAATACGTCACCAGGCACAGCGGTACTGGGTCCAGCCGCTGAGCGGATCAAGACCTTCTTTGTGTGTCATGCCTTTCATCACATCACAAGTCCGCGCACAGATCCAGACTGGGTGCACGAATCCGTGCTGTCTGGTGTCGGAGCATCTCAACATCTCATTTTCTGTATGCGCCACTTGGGCTTGGAACCCCAAGCCCAGAAACGAGATGTGGAGCACAAGCCCGAAAGCCTCAACTTAAAATGGATGCTGCTTCGTATGTAAGCCCTAAAGCCTCGAAAGAGATTCTGAGAACAAACTGACCAGCTGGCTGTGAAACCCGACAAAACGGTTGCGTAGAACAGCCTGAGCCCCCGTAACGGAAACGCTTCTCGGAGACATCTGAACTGTACAATGAAAACTCTACAGGCTGTGAGTGAAACAGACTAGCCGTCCAGCCCGGAAGTAGATGTTGGCTGGAGTGTGCTTGCTTGACACCCCGAACTCCTCTTGTAAACACATGTAAACTCTAAACGGAGATGCCTAGGAAGACAGATCCTGAACCCAGATGTTCCGTGCGAAGGCGTTTGAACCCGCTGCTGGAATCCGAGTGCTGAGGTCGGTCTTCGGTTGGTCTCGGAATCATGTGCCTTTCTCTAATGCATGGATCGCACGCACTCGAACTGGGCCTGGCCAGAGTCGAGCGCGCCACTCCCCGGTGAGATCGTCGATCTCGGAGCTTCGATCTGAACCGGCCTTGCCGACTCGGCATTTTGTTTGTGATCGCTGAGCACAGGTCTTCGACACAGAAGGCACGCAAAGAATGCATCAGTTTCAAACTGCATCGCAGAGCACAGGACTCTGATATTTATGCATGCAACACAAGACCAACCATACCAACCAAGCGGGAGAAACATGTGCTCGTTGACAGCCGAACATGTGGAACACTGAAGCAGCAAAAATACCTAGCGGCTACCTAGCGCACCACACAATGCCACGGGAGAGTGTGTACGACGATGGCAAATTATGGGAATCTGAAAGTGAAACTTATGTCCAGCAGCATCTAAAGCAATGAGTGCAGCTCTACCTCGAGGATGACAACAGCAGGATTTGTTAGAGCAACAGTACAGACGGCAAGAACAACTACAACTCACAACAGGATGCCAAGACAATCGTCAGAGTACCGTCTCGATGAAAAGACAACGAATTTAGCCGCCCTGAACAGCACAAATCGTTGGTCGAAGCACACGCACACTCTTTTGCTGAGCTTCACACTTCATGATCTTGATGTCTCATTGTTGCTATCCACTTGCACTATCCACTACAACTGGCATTTTACCACGCCATGTTTCCCAATACGATTGATCTAGAACCAGCCGCATCATGAAGTTCGCTACATTAACTTTGGATGTTCCAATGGGCGAAAACACGCCGTTCTGCAATGTCTCGTGGACCGCGTAGCTGGAGACGTTTTCCAACTTGTCCGAGAGGCTGTCCGGCCGGACAATGCAGTATTCAACCTTGGGGTGGCTGGGGCCGATGTCATCAATGAGATAATGCGCCGTTTTGGTGTTGTCCACCATTGGAGGCAGTGCCCAGTGCAAAGCGCCCACGAGACATCGAGAGGCCCAACCATGGTACGCCTGGTCAGTGGGATCCTTTGGGTTGGTCACCAGCACTGTGTTCAGGAGCACAAACTTGGATTTGCCCTGAGACTCGTCGCTCTGGACCCTGCCGAGTGACTCACACACTCGTCGAGCAATTTGAAGAACAAGATCCTTTGGTTCTCCGAAGACCTCCACATGACCCAGACACGACACCACAGCGCTGCAGCCGCGCACATGGGAGTCGAGCTCCGCATCGGTAACGTCAGTGACTCTCGCTTGGACAATGGAAAAGTTGACGTCTTCCTTGACGGCATCTGGAAGTTTGCCTGGTGATCGAACGACTGCACGAACGGGTGTACCGTTTGCCAGGAGCTGCTTCACCAGATGGAGTCCGATCCCGCCCGTTGCACCCAGGATCAGCACCGCCATGATTTAGTATTTCACGATGCGGCTACAGGGAAGACGTCGAGTCAAAGGTCAAAGCGGAATGCGACGACGTCAAGCCTTCTTGCACGGCAGAGTTATGATATGCCATGGTTAGATTTGGATGGCATGAATCTTTGATGCATCTGCGGCTTCCCCCAAATTGCAACACCGACCTCGAAGCCACCAAGCCAGGAGTTCAGGATCCTCAGCTGCTGAGCGTTGCGCGGCACTCTCACAGAATCGAGGCCTGGAAGGCCTGGAAGGCCTGGGGCCGGCACGGTCGCAGGGCATTCATGCCAGATGTGCCGATTAAGGCCTGCCAAGTGTTGTCTACACTTCGATGGACCCGTTGCATTCTCTCCGCAACCTCTGGTTGGCGTCTGGCTTCATCCGGGATGTGGCCGCCCTCGGGCAAACCAGCACGACCAAGTTGCTCTGTCATGCTCTGTCCAAGACAAGATTAACATGGAGTCGGTGTGTCATGTCGCGCCAAGAGCAGCGGCTTGGACCGTCCTGGATGAGGAAGCCCACAACTTCATCGGAGAAGTGATTACCTGGGAACGAGACGGACTTCGTAAGCATCCTGCTGTGAAGGAGCCATTTCTCGGGACATGGCAATTATGCGACAGGATGTCGTAGTTGTCACGAGTGTACCTGTATAGACAGACAATCCTCGCCTCGGGGATCGGCTAAACCTGGAAAACCCCTCAGCCTTGGAACGACCTCGAAGCGCAGCCAATCTTCCAGCTCCTGACATATGACATGAAATCCAAGCAAGTGCAGCCAGGCACTGGTACCAACATCCAACATGCGTTCCTCCCTGGTGTGGAGCGTGGTGCCGAGATCAGAGCATCCTGACGCAACAGTCCAGGCAACAGGCAAACTGTGGCAACGTTGCGGCAGGATGCGGCAGGTGGCTCAGGATGGGACGGATTGGCCCAGGAGGAAACGGTGCCTTGCCAGGCTCCGAAGCCAGGACCTGGACAAGAAGGCTGGCAGCCTTGACAAAATCTGCATCAGAGAGAAAGCATCGCCGAGCCTTGCCACCAAACCAGTACTCCCTGCCGAACGCGAGGACGCCGGTGTGCCAGATGCCTTTCGTGTATTCCAGAAGTAGAGCATGCGGAAGGGTTGGGTGGGCACGGGGAAGCTCTCAAGTGCTCTCAAGTACAAACCGAACCAAACCGCTCGTGTCAGCTGTGCTGGATTTGTGGACTCTAGCACGGCTGCTGGGCTGTTCGGAATGAAATTACCCGCACGGAGTCCCGCTTCTAGCAAACCCCACTAAAGAGTCACCTGATGTCACCTGAAGGACTAAAAGCTGTGAACAACTGCGAGATGCGCCTTCAAGGTTCTGGCCGAGAAGAACCCCTGTCGGGAGCCATTTGGCGTATCCACGCGTCACATCGTACCTGCATGTCACGCTTGTTGTTCTTGAAACCATGGCGACTATTGGTAGATTTGTAACGATGGTGTTGATTCCGCAGGTGACCGTGACGATGATGATGACAGTGATTGTGCTGGTGACCGTGACGACGGCGAGGATGAGAACGATGATAATCAGATGATGATGATGATGATGATATATGATGATGATGATGGTGATGGTGATGGTGATGACGGTGACGGCGATGAAGATGATCACTTTGATCGAGCGCTGAACGAGGAGTCTCGGTTCCTTGCGGGCGTAAGTGAAACTTGACTTGACTTCGGCACTTCTGGCCTTCTGTTACTAGTCTGCTTCTGCTTGCTGGTGGTTCTCGAGGGAGTCTGCAAGAATACAAAATGCCTCCACGAAGACAGTGAGTTGCGAATCTTAAGCCTGACACCGCGCTGTCCGAAAATGCTGTGGGCACTGCCGCCCTGGGAGCTGTCTCGGAGCCACTCACTCAGAGAAGCCAGCAGGCTACAAAGGCACTGCTGAGGATGATGATGACGATTTTTGCTGATTTCTGATGATGGTGATGATGACGGTGATGGCGATCTAGGCGCACCAGTTGAGCTGCACAGGCGTGCGGCGATACCCAAGACCTTGGCCGAGAAGGAATGATACTTCCTTATATACACAACGAACACAATAAATAGAAATACAAGTATAACAACATACATATACATATATGTATACTGCAGGAAAAAATATGTAAATGTGTATGTGTATATATGTATATATACAGATACATGAAAACAAACATTTACATGTATACATACCTACTTAAATATGCATATCATAATTAATCCTGCGAATATGTATCTGGTTATCTAAGTATGTTATTGTGTATATATTTTTTAACTAATGTTGAAAATAGCCCGCATTCCGGCCTCATCCCCGCACCCTCTACGGCAACTCCGTAGTCCCTATATACGAAAACCGCTCCCCCACTCAGAAATGCATGACAGTACCTCTCTCTCTCTTTCTCCATGTACTGCTTGCACAGCCTTATAGCGAGGCAGAGACAGAAAGCCACGAAGTCGTAGTAGCACAATTCCTCCCGTTGCCGTGTGCAATGCCGGGGAAACGGCTGAGATCTAAAATTGCAACAGCAGGATAACGAAGATGATTTGGTATCTCGGCGACTGCGTTCTTTCTGTCCACCAACCGCATGGCATCAGGATGCAAGATGCGACCTTCCTGGAAAGTGTGCCCGGCCCTGTCCTCTCAGCCCTTTATAAGGACCCCCCCCCCCGGAATCATGAACACAGGCCACTCCGAGGTCCTCGGACGCCGCAAGCTTCACCTGCTTCGCACAAAGTCCGCTGATTCCGGCGGGTGGCCATGCGGCACAAGCTTTCTCGCAAGAATTGCAAGTAACGCAATTTCACGTTCCGACTTCAATATCAGGGGACATGCTTTGACAGCCTGCGAGAGCAACTCCTCACAGTCCAAGAAGGTTGCCTGAATCCACCGAATCCACCGCAGCTGATATCCGTCTCGGGTGTGCAAAAAAACCTAATCCTTCTGAGAATCACCTCGATGTCCCGCAAGTGCAAGGAGCCTCTACCTGCAGATGCGCAGCGAAGCCGCACGGAGCAAATGCTGCATTCGGAATTAGACCTCTCGAATTGACAACATTCTGAAGCAGCAACTGTCTTCAAGGAGTTCGGTGGCGACTGAGGTTGCAGCCCCGCGAATCAGCTCGTTCAAAAGCATCGACGGCCTGCATCTTTATGGCTGGCGTTAAGCAAACCCACTGATGGCTCTACCAAGATGACCCCAACAGGAAAATCTGGAGCAGAAAGAAAAGCGACCGCAGATTGTGCGTGACATCCGGCATTGCATATAAACTTCGTTGCAAGCACTATAATCAGGACAAGGTCTGCAATGTACCATTGATACCTGATGCTCCAGTGCAAGACATCCTTCAATCCCATACCTCAAGTACCCATGGCTGAACGCACGTACCAGTGGTAATTAAGCATGACACTGCAGCTTTGCCTTCTAGGGCAGTGAAATGTCCGCTGAAATTGCCAATCAGCCGAACTCGTATCTGGTAACTTGGTCCCCGGAAGCTCGAAATCGCAGATAACAGAAGCAGTATGCAGCCCTGCCTCTCGGAGGAAAACAGAATTGCCGGCCTGGCTTCGGAGGTGAAGCTGGGAGCTTCGGATCTGGGGCTCCCCTTCATCGACATCGAGCATCTGTGAGAGAAGCTATGTGTGGTTCCTTTCTCCTCTGGGGTCTCAAGCCACCACCAGGACCACCACCACCACCACCACCACCACCACCACCACCACCACCACCACCACTGCCACTACTACCACTACTACCAGGTTCTACCAGGTTCTACCAGGTACTATCAGGTCCTACCACTACTACCCCCACTACCACTACTACCACTACTACCACTACTACCACTACTTCGACTACTACGACTACTACCGCTACAACCACTGCTTCTACCACGACTACCACTACCACTACTACCGCTGCTCCTGCTGCTGTTACTAGCACTGGCACTGGTAGAATTACTGGTGCTGCTACGACCACTGAAAACCAAACTACTGCTTCTACTACTAGTACTAGTACGCGTACTAGTACTAGTACCAGTACTACTGGTACTAGTACTGGTATCGATGCCTATGAGCGCAGTACGTTCAGCTGCAGCAATAGCAGTTCTGAAAAGTACACAAGGTGGAGGTAGAGGTAGTGGCAATTGCAGTGGTAGTGGCAGCAGCAGTAGTAGTCGTCTTCGTAGTAGTAGCGGTAGCAGATGGTAGCAGTAGCGGTCAGTAGCAGCAGCAGTACCGACAGCTTCGGCAGAAGCAGTAGCAAAAGCAGTAGCAGTAGCAGTAAGTAGTAGCAGCAGCAGCAGCAGTAGTAGTGGTGGTACTAATAGTAGTAGCAGTAGTGGTAGTAGTCGTCGTCGTAGTAGTAGCAGTTAGTCACGCTTAGCTGAAAGAAGTGGTAGCACAATCTGCCCGGACGTCTCTTTGAGCACAGCTGCAGTCATTTGGGTATTATAGAAGCTGCAGAAGGAGCAGTAGGAAGCAGCCTTCCAGGATGCTGAAACGTCTTCGCTCCCCATCTCCGAGAAGCGGATCTCGAGGGAAGGCATGGAAAACAAAGCCAGACTTACGGCCGTCTTCCACGGGAGAGATAAGGCGAGACTGTATTTGCACTTTTGTGGAGCTCTGATTCTCGACAGTCTGATTTCTAGACTGTGGATCACTCAATAAACGAAGCACCGCCACTTTGGACGGACTTCCTGACAGACCAGACGTCTTCTGAAGAACATGCTCGTTTGGGCCACGCATGATGATGCGTCCAACTGACTCCATGTACTGAGACAGGCGGATCCTGTCATCAAACATACGGAAATCAATGTAAGACGAAGTCAAGCGCTTAGCCAACATGGAATCTTGAATACGATGATCCAGCTCTTTCGCGGCATAGCTCAATGGGCTGCAGTTGTCCCAAAGCTCGTTGTTCGAGCTTTCCTCAATCCTGAGAAGCAGCACCCTCGAGCTCGAGTCGTCCAGGAGGAGTTGGTGATGCCAGTGAGGCTGACACGAGAAACACAACATTCCGGCAGCATACTCCAGCAGTGTGTCAAAGCAGATGCCGTATGTCGCCACCACATACCGCATGCTGTCCAGCGCAGCATCGAACAGCACGCGCTGAGTGGACGACGCATCGCGATACTCTTGCGTGACAGCGAAATCCTCCATTTGTGAACGCAGCAACTCCAAATGAGATGCCTTGTTCTTCCAATGTGTCTCCCACCGCTGGAAGGCTTGCTTCTGTTCGTCTTCAAAAGAGACTGTGCAGCATGCAGGCCTTAGATTCCAGATGGGGCAGAGGTTCAGGGAATTCTGAACTGTTGGTCTGCTGGCAAGGTGACGTATGTCACTTTTTCCGGCCCAGTGAGGCTGAAACAGTGGGTTGAAGCAGTCGCCCGCACTTCCAGGTTCTGCAGCTCGGAGGGTCGGCAACACCCATGCCCAGGACAACGCCCGAAAGAGAAGCTCTCCCGACATTCTAATTCGTGCGCTCGGCTCGGCTCAATAGAAGAAGTGAACAGACAACTGTAGTATCGCTACTGCGCACGTCACCAACATGACTTCTGGTCCTGATGGTCTGGCGTGGGGATTTCGGTTACGTGCACGTGCGTCTGCTGGGATGTGAGCAAAGGTCAGCTCATTGCGACAAGTTCCAAGCATTGCAAAGACACACGCAGGTTGCGACTTCTTGCTCACGACGTCCGTGCACTTCGGTGAAAGGCGTCGGAGCGACCAGTTCACGCCGTAGTCGCCTGGAAAGAAAGGCTTAAAATGAATTAACCCTAGGCTGATGTTTACCGACTGTAGTTTGAAGTGACAGCAGGCAAGAGCTGTCTGGACGAGGGTGAATATTCCTCTCCCTGCAACACACATCTCAAACCGGATTCCACGTGAAAACATCTCTCTGCGGACTTGTTCTCGACTGGGTAAGTTGATGCTTCTGCCTGGACACCAAGGACAACCAAAGAGCCAGAAACACCCGGCTGTTGCCGATCTAGCTTTGTTCGGAGCTGCCCTGACACTGTCTTTTAGCCTCGACCCATCATCCTACCAGTCCCGGCTCACGCAGCCACTGCTACTGCAAACCAAGAAGTCTAAGTATCGGCATTCAAATAACTTCGCGACACCATGCCTGTTGAGCAGCTGTGTGGGCGCTGAAGGTGAAGACACCAGAAGTAAGCCAAAGTGAACCCAGTCCTGCACTGTAAATTCAGCATCAGCATGAACAGTGCTTTTCGGCAGGGACCGCCTCTGAGCGGATACCTTCCTTTCGCACAGCTGCCTGCTGAAAGCAGCCTCATTGAATGGGCTGCACTGTATTATCACTTGCCGCTCAAGCCACGAGAAGCCCAAAACCACAACGTCTGAGCTTTGCACGTCGACCGCTTTCGCGAAGGAGGTCTTCGAAGTCTGCGGGGACCTTGGCTGGGGCCCACCTCAGCCTCTCCTCCACGACCACCGTCCGGAACCAGAGCCCAAACGAGCCCCGAGCATGACCCATATGCCTTGCTCTGGAGCGGACGAACGAGATCAAGTCGGACTCCGTCACAGCCCTGCCCGAATAGCGCAGTTCAGGACGCTCTGACTCCAAAACACGCATAGTGGCGCCTCCGATTGTGCAAGTTCACGTCGGCAAACTGTTTGCGCAAAAAGGAGTAAATGCACGGCACCTTCAAGCTGCAACTACCCAGTCGGTGTCTGGTTTAGAACGAGCTGTCGCGTTGAAGTTCTCAGGCATGCGCTGTCAACCTCCAAGAACCTCCGATTCTGTGATGTAGTGTAGAAGACACGATGACTACAAATGCTTCTACCTGAAGCAACTTGAAGAAGCCCCACCCTGCACACACCTCTTCATCATGTTTTTGTGAAAGGTGGTCGGTTGTCCAGATCACTAATTAGCCTAGACGACCACTACGACGGACCAGGGAGGTGCATGTATCCCCCGGGCGATGCCATGTTCGAGGGTTGTGAAGGTGTGAGACTCGAGACTAGGGCAGACGTCGCGCCAACGCAAGTTGCTGCTAGGAGCGCACACAGTTTCCAAACAAACGTGTTGCAACTGCGTTCATATGACGTCATGATACTCCGATCTACGTACTGAAACCCGAAAATCGACGCTCACCATTCTTCAAAGATGCCTACACACACGCATCGAAACCCGAATGTAATATCATGTCAACCGTGCTGAACATCTTACCCAGATGCACGCACTTCGCTGGACTAAAAACTCTTGGCCAGTCGTTCGCGCTGATACTTGTACCAATTCCACCATCCGTGACCCATGCACAGCATTATATCCGGCTCGGGGTGGAGTACTGGGACCCTGAAGCTTTCGGCCGTGCGATACCCGCGTACGCTTCCTTTCGAGGAACCCCGGTCGCCTTTCAGAACACTTGGAGCCCAGGCGAATGCTACAAGTAGCAATGATCGAGGAAGCTCTGAGGCCCAAAAAGAGAGCATTCCCCAGAGCTCGCGCTCCATGTTAAAATACTACAGTACTACAGTGCCACCTAGCGTGTGTTGCCCATCTGCATGCACTTTGCAGGAACCTCTTCAATTTGGAGGCTCTCGGCTGCAGCCGCCTTGCTCCCAGGCTGAACCTCCTGGTGTCAGAAGCTTGGGCGCTCAGTGTGCCTGTTCGGGATTAAGACGCTGGAAACACGCGAAACAGCGACCCGGACTCTTAGCTTTTTCCTGCCATCTCATCTTCCCCTGTATGTCCGGGTCGCTCGTTCCCTCGAGTCTCATCTTCTTCAAGCAAATTACATTAGGAAAAGGTTGCCCTGTATACCTGGTCGGCTCTTTTAAGTCTTTTGGCTAGACTACACAAGTGAACTTGTAACACTAAACACCAACCAAGGCGAGTCAGGCGAGTTGAATGCCACTGAAATCAAATGTGTACTCACCAGGTGCCGAGATTAGAACCTCAGAGCTTTGCATTCTAGACTATACTCGGTGTCCGAGCCGCAAATCAACGCCAGAGCCCTCTAAGGATTCTTTTGGCCATTAATGTCAAGAGGGTGGCAGGCCAAACACTGGCCTCTGCTCGCCAAGGAGTTGTCAGACCCCGAGACATATTGGCCTGAAAGTGCGACGCCGGCCAGGATCATGTAGAACGGGGATTCTGCTACTGCACAGGCTACTGCTCCTGTTTATTGGCTACTCGCTACTGGCTTTTGCTACTTGCTGCTGTTTAGCAGTCATTTACTAGTACAAGCACTTACTAGCACTAGTTCTAGTTCTAGTACTAGTACTCTTACTACTAGAAATACTGCTGGCAATACCACCACTCTTAATACTGCTACGACGACTACAGCTAGCCACTGCTACTGCTACTACTACGACGACGACTATTTTCAATCCTGCTGCTGCCACCCCTACCCCTACTCCGCCGACCCCTGCCCCAGCCCTACCACCACGACTACGACTAGGACTAGGACTACGTGCTGCTGCCACGACTACTACTACCACTGTACTACTACTACTACTACTACTACTACTACTACTACTACTACTACTACTACTACTACCACACTACCGCAACTACGACGACGACGACGACTGCTACTACTACTACCACTACTACTACCACTACTACTACTACTACTACTACTACTACTACTACTACTACTACTACTACTACTACTACTACTACTACTACTCCTGCTACTACTACTACTACTACTACTACTACTACTACTACTACTACTACTACTACTTCTACTACTACGACTACTACCACAATATCTACTACTACTAGGACGACGACTACGACGACGACTGCTACTACTACTACTACTACTACTACTACTACTACTACTACTACTAGTACGACTAGTACTACTACGACTACTACTTACTACTACGACTACGACGACGACTACGACGACTACTACTACTACTACGACTAGTACTACTAGTACTACTAGTACTACTACGACTACGAAGACGACTACTACTGCTGCTGCTACTGCTACTGCCACTGCCACTGCCACTGCCACTGCTGCTGCTGCTACTGCTACTGCTCTTCTACTGCTACTGCTACTGCTCTTTCTACTGCTACTGCTACTGCTACTGCTACTGCTACTGCTACTGCTACTGCTACTGCTACTGCTCTGCTGCTGCTACTCCTGCCAATCCTGCTACTACTGCTGCTACTACTACTACTACTGCTGCTGCTACTACTACTACCACTACTACTACTAACTGCTCCCGCTGAAGCTGAGTTCCTCCAGCTGCTTGTGCTACTGCTAGTCGCGCTCGTGTTCGGGCCAGTATGAGTACAACCACCACCACCACCACCACCACCACCACCACCACCACCACCACCGCGACTACCACGACTTTGCTGCGACGACGGCTACCACCTGTTGCTTCGTTGCCTCGTCGTCACAATCATGAAAAAACACTACAACAAACTTCGCGAACTGCTAAGCGCACAATGGAACTTTGTCGGGCCTCTTCTCTTGTGGTGGACCGCAATGCCGGGATGGTTACATCCTTGAACTTTGTTCCAACCTGCAAGGCTTGGCTACACAGACAGTTTCACCAGGTCGATTTCTGCTGCTTTCTGCAAATTTCTGGAAACAAGAGCAGCAATGACAGCAGCGGGTCACCCAGAGCCTCGATAGCTCTCGACAACCTTCCCATCACGGGCGGTGAGCGTGGCGTAGGTAGAATGGTACCTGACTCTACGGCGGCTGGTTGCAGTCTGGGTTTTTTGGTACCCTCTGTCAACCCTCATGCGCACCATCTGTGTCAGACGATATGCGTTGAGAAATCTTGTCGACCAGCGTCGCTACCTCGCAGAAAGTTGCTGAAACGCCGTTCAGTTTTGGAACTACACACACGCCTTGTCCACGATCATTCGAGGGCTCTCAAAGGAACGGTATGGCTTTCTGGCACGAGTCAGAAAATCTCAGGCCTCTGCTACAGCAATCTCAGTGCACATTCCATCCGAAAGGCCCACGACTCCAGCTCTCTTGAGTGTCGCAGCGAAACGTTGCAGTATGTTGCACTGCAGCATACTGGAACCAAGAACTTCAACATTCCGACTCCTGTCAACTCAAGCGGTCGCGGCTGGGCGTGGCTGACAGCTGGCAGCTTGGGATCCTGCTGCGGGGCTTCAAGCTTCGCTCAGCATGTCCCTGATTGAGAATCATGAAATGTCATGAAGTTCCCAAGAAACTGTTCTGTTCTCCAGTGACAGGACACCGGGGTCCGACATTTTGCGGCAGCGGCCCAGGCTGTCGTCATGATTTCGTTTCGCAGCTGGCCTGACAAAATGACCAGAGACTGCGATTCGCGGCTCGCTGATTCCTCTGGGGTGGCAGCAATACCGTCGTCTGCGGCATGGAGTCCAGGTCAAGGTCCTCGCATTGCCGATTTATGGAGCTGTTGTGGAAAGAAGTAGTTCGTGGGGCACAGATTGCCTGCAACCAGGGGCCCTGAATTGGTGGTGGTGGGTTTGGAGCATGCAGTTCATGCCCCTCCGTCCTTGCTAGTGCTTGGCCTTCTGTCCAGACTTGTTCATGTTTGAGCATGTGCGGATTTGGGACGTGAAGTTTCGTTCAGACTTCGGCTTTCGGACTTGAGATTTCGGTACTTCGGACTCCAGGGTGGTAGGGGATGGTTGGGGGGAGGGGTGTAGGGGGCGGCGAATAACTCCTTTCCAGCCTCTGCTTAAAATCGGTGCTTGGGGTTGTTGCAACTGGCTGCAACTACTGGAGCCAGCATGTCAATGAACGGTAACGCTCCTGGCGGAACATGGCCAAATCTAACGAAGTGCAAATGAAAGTGCTGCGTTATGCTTCGTTGCATGAAACCCGAACTTTGAGGCAAAGCCAAAATATTGTGCGTGAGAAATTGGTGGAGTCTGCTAAAGACGCCAGCTTTGTCCAAGTGAGCAAGTCCTCGTCGGCAACTTCCAAATCCCACAACAAGTCGGCCACTTCATCCAGTTTTGGTGAAGGCGGGCGATAGCCGGCGAGCTCCTGCACGAGCTGTCAGCATTGAGCTCACAAAGGTTGGTGCCAAGGCTGCCGGCCTTGTCGATGGCCTTGCCGTCGTCGCCCAACAGGATCACAGAAAGTCTCAACCTTTGTGGAATCCTGGAGGCCCAAAGCACAGCGCGAGAGCGGTGTAGCAACCAACGTTTTTCTCTTGCGAGTTACAAGGCGGGCGGACCAATCAGAATCTGCTCAAAGCGCAAAATAGACAGCTATGCCCTGCAAAATACTGCAAGAGCCTGGGTGGAGTTGGGAGCTCTTCGTCTGGCACCTGCGTACAGCTGATGGAGAAGCCCTCATGCCCTGGTTGCGAAAAAAGAGATGCATCCATGGGGCTTCCATGGGGCTCACTGCAACTTTCAGCTTGCAGGGCTGAAGCTTCTAGCGAACAACTAGTCGCCACAATTGGACTTCGCACTGCGCCAGCAAGCGTGCTGGTTTTCAGAACCCTAACGAGCAATAGATCAGAAAATGCAAGATTATGCGAGAAAGTGGTCTACCTATACCAAGATCTGCGCAGCGGATCATACTACAGAAGTCAAACCCAATTATCATCCTTCATGCTATACTGACTACATCAAACGGCATCAACGTCCATTACACCACAACATGTTGTATTTTGCTGTGCCACGGCTGCATTGAGATGATTTCACACTGTACTACACTGCAACATATATGATAGCGGACTCAAGCCCACTACAACTACGCACACTGCAGCAAACCGCATCTTATCACAACAAGCCATGTACCGCAACCTCCTGCTATGTTGGGGCTATAGCAACACCTTTACAACCTCGCACTATGCAGCCCTGCCACACCCATCCGTGAAGTGTCGGCTGCATTATTTTGTCTGACGACACTATGATATACTGTGGTGGAAGCATGCCTCTTACAATTTATTCTACTGTGGTTTCACTCTGCCTTGCTATCCGATGTTCTCTTGCGATCTCCTACACCCCCGAACGTTCTCCTGGAGCCTGCAATGCTCTCTTTCATGCTACAGCACATTCAGCGGCCACAGGCCATGTTCATCTGGACCAAAAAGGACCATTTTTTTACTTTGCGTTGGACAACAGTCGACCCGTATCGACTGAAATCGGCCCGTCCTCCGTATTCCGCTATACACAGTTCTACTCACATTTGCTAGTTGTGCTGCATGAGACTGTAATTTCAATTTGGTGGGTTTGCCAATGAAGATATGTAAGTAACAATCGACACCGCGTCTAAAAAAACCTTGACATCCACTGTGCGGGAAAACTGGGCCCCCGCAGCGTCCCTTTCTGAATTTCAACAAGTCAAACAGATGCAGCAAGACGTGCAGGATGCTCTAGGCCACCAAAGGAGCGGCGACATGAGGAGATGCACCTCATTATGGTATGCTGTTTTGTGTCAACAGACCGGATGCTACGCTGGATGACAAGATGGCATAAGATACCCTAAGATACCAGGAAACCCTTGAGCAGCGATCATGGCCCGCGTACGCAATACCATACGACGCTAGAGGAATAGTGCACGTAGCTAGAGACTGCATATGGCTTTATGTAAGCACTATGAATCTGTGACCTGATCCAAAGTGCTAGGAAGAGCGAAGTCTTCGCAAACCATTTGAGCATCTGCTTTTGCCTCCGCATCGGAGTCTGCCCATTGCCACGCATTTGTGCTGCCACCATCAATCGTCCACTCGTCCTGCTCCTCTTCCTCGCAGCATGATCAGCGATGACTGCAACGTGCAGAAACTTCTTGTTTCTCTGTGGGCTTCTCAGATAGGCAACTATTGAGCCCTGCGTCCTGCTTCGGAGGTGAGGGCATGGACTTCGTCTATCTAAACCTCAGAGTCCAAAGCACGAAATGCCGGCTCTTCCCGAATCTGCAGCTTTGATTCTTGCAAGGATGCACAGGGCAGAAGAAAGCACCGTCTCCAAGGGCAATGCTGACAGCGCTGACTCTTCGGCGCCTCACGTGTGATGACCGAAAGTATCCAAGCTCCTATACATGGCTCCTAGTATGCATAGCTCCTAGACATGGCATTTGTCGGAGTATGCACAGTCTAGGCCAGCCGGACATTGCGCACGGCCAAGTTCAAAATGCTGCATTGCAAGTCACTTCACATAGCTGCACCTGTATGAGCACTGTAGCAACCTGAAATTCCCAACGACTACCGACTGCTGTCATGAATGGCTTTATTTGGCTATGACCATGCATGAGCAGAACAGAGCATTGTAGTTGAGATAGACTATCCCACACACAGTGTGTAATTTTGTGGTGCAGCTTGTGCCTATATTACATTCGATAGGATCAAGCAAGCATATCTGCAAGTTGATTGTGGATACAGCAGATGCATCAAGCTGTAGCATTCTCTAGACTCTAAATGTACAGGGGCCAGAAACCCACGCGGGCATTTTCGGCTGAGCACCACCAGAAAGGTCCATGCCTGCGCAAATTTTACCAATGGCGTCCGCCATCGGCCACAGCCAGGGTTGGCTTTGGCAGCAGAGGAAAGGCTCACTACCACCTTTCTGCGGCAATCCATGGGTGCACTATTCTGGTGGGGCTGCTCTCTGCAAGCACTTTCTTGACTTGCCATACGGCGATTCAGCACACATCATACGTGTGGTGATTGGCCGAGTGGAGAGCAGAACAAAAATGAAACAGGCAGCCACATTCTGCCTGAGCTCCTGCAAGTTGCGCTCGTGTACAAAATGAGTTGAACTTCGTCTCTGCGCGGCAACAAGTGTGCGAATGTGGCATCTATGTATCAACACGAATCGCACAGCCGTAGCAAAGCACAGGCTGTCTGTACAAAAGCACGGTCTCAGCTCGCGTAAACGATGCAACGACCTGAAATCAAAACTGTACTGTTCCATATAGCATATTGTGCATCTAGGACATCTTGACATTTGGGCTTCCAGGAGTTCACTCACTTTCTTCTGGGCGTTCTGGGCGTTCTAATCTGAACTCTAAATTGACAGTCCCCTCTCCGGAAGTCCAACTAGTATCAGCTGCACGACCACGATTAGCATGCGAGGGTCTTGATGCTACAATGCCCTATCTGAGCCACCCCGCATGTCCAACTTGAATGGCGTGCCGTGATAGGCAAACCCTTATTCCGCATGCTGTGGCGTGCTTCTCTGCCCGATAGACGCAGCAAGCGGCTCAGGAAAAAGGCGGATGCTTCACGCATAAATCAGCGAGGCATCACGGCAGACCAGCCGCAAACTTAGCTGCAGATGCTCCAAACACAGCATCGGCGTCTTTTTCGGGGCTGCTCGTGAAGTGTGCGATCTAATGAGAACCACGCCCCATCTCCTCTTATTATTCAATTTTGTAGCAGCTACGGTGGGTGAGCAATGTAACACGACGAAATAGGTGAAAGCCTTTGCTAGAACCGCAGCCTGACGACAGGCCGTGCTTTGGTGTCGTTCAACTGTGCAAGCACATGAGGAAGCTCTGCTGAAGTGTCTACTACCCTGAACTCCAAAATCTGGCTCAGGAAATCATCTGATCTGATCCAGTCCTCGGCCAACACCCAAGCACTGCAAGAGGAAGCAAAGTTCCAGACACTACGGCTCCGGTTCAGCATTACACTACCCCAGAAAGTGTTGGAAAGGGCCAAGAGGAGACAGAAAACACGAAGATAACATGGAAAACCAATCAAATGACAGCCTAACACTTACATCCTGCGACATGTGGTGGCTTACAAGATATTCCAATACATCACAATCCTGTTAAGTCCTTCTGGCACCACCGAACAGACTGTCAAGAGCCAAAGTATTCGCCATAGTATGTCCACATGTTTCACAACATTCAACCGTCGAACAGTAGATCACAATACATCATCTCAGTATGTGTCATCTGTGCTCTGTTGGTATACTCAAGATGTACCGCCATGTACTGCATTGCAGGCAGTGTCCTGTAGCATGCTCAACTCGAGTTGAATCGATTCGAAACTACGAAAAAGCCAAACAAAGAAATTATCTACGGCTTTGGAGCCCGCCAAGACTCTGCAGCCCGCTTGGAATGCTTTGGGTTCTCAGGGAGAATGATCATTGCACGCACTATGTCAGCTGCAAGCTTGCGATCCCATTGTTCAGGCCCTCAGGAAGCGAGAACGATGCGCACTTGGCAGACTGTCTTTGCTCAGAGACGAAGCATAGAGAAACAAGTAATGACACATGTCTCCCAGTGGTAGCACCCATGCAGCCTGTAATGCTGAGTGCTCCACGCTTGCAATCTTTGCGCAAGCCTCCTGTGTCTCCAGTTATGGCTGCTTTGATTGCAGCACCACCTCGGCCCAGTTTCGTTGCATGATGTCGAATACCAGTGCAAAGAAATGGTGGTCCAAACGCTCATGAATCCACACACCATGTTTGCAGCATTGGCCGTTCCTTGTCCGAAGGAAGCATCGGCCCGCGGACCATCCACCCAAAACGGGGCATCAGTAACACACATTTACCGAAGAAAATTCCAGAACGCTATGAGTCATCCCTTCTTCTACGAGCTCTAAAGACCTTGGGCCCTAACAGGGCTTCGCTTCGCGCCAGCCAGCCACGAGCACAGCCCCCAGCTCGGCTACCTTGCAATTTCGGTGATTTCGCGGGAATCTCCTCTCTAGCTGGCGGGATGTTCGCCCGATGCAAACACCGCGTGACATCAAAGCCTCAGACCACCGAGGGCCCAGATGAGTGGCTCAGGTGCCAACAGCCCCAACAAGCTGACTCAAAGGATAACCTCTGGACATTACAACGCACAGTCGTGGTCGTGGCGCCAATAACGAAAAGTGCGAAAACGAATGATGTTCATAGCGAACAAAAAGCTTAATAAGCTAAGTGGTGCTGCTACCATCAGCATCGTGGCAGTCCCGACCCCGAGCCTGGATTCGGGCTTCATGGAAAGTGCGGATTTAACCAGCAACCTTTCCCAGTCTGAACCACAAGGCATCACTCTGTGAAGCGATGATGCTACATCCCAACAGCCGCACCACCCTCAAAACAAATCAAAGTTAAAACACACACACACACAGCATACACACACAGACACACACGCACGAAACACAAAGTCACATATAACTACATGAATCAAACCCTGAAATGCAACAACCCGCAAACCCGCCCTGTTCAAGAAGAAACTCTCCCCTCTGCAAGATCCAAAGCTGCAGGGGGCGCCCTTGATCGAAACGAAACTACGACATGCAGGTCGCTGCTTCTAGGCATAAACATACATGCACACATGTACATGTCCGTATACATGAAGCTACCTACGTGCTTGTGTGTCATTCGGGCCTGCAAGCTGTTATTATCGGTGAGCTGCACAAGCAACAAATATGAGTGATGAAATAAGGTGAAATTACCTGGACAATACAGACATGTGGCTGCCTAACGTCTAGAGTCTTGTTGTCCTCATAGAGGGTCGCAGCCCGCAACATGCTACAGCTTGTAAAGGCTGCAGAGGTCCAGATAAGGAGCTGAAGATAAGAAACACACGGAGAGTACGGAGAGAAGAATTCCAACTAAGATTGAAATACGGGGTTGTACGGAGTGCGATGCTGAAGCTAGCAGAACTTGGTACTAGCACTATGTAACGGTATCACGGTATTGCCCAGCCCTAGTTGGCCGTCATTGGTGACGCTGAAACAAAGCCTTGTGAACGTAGCAAGTGGACAAGTGATTCGGTATTGCGACGATGGCGAATGCCATGTTTAAGGGGTGTCCAAGTGGGGCATAGACTAGCCAATCTACTCATGACCACATCGGGTGTCATCAGAACAACATAGTGTCCTGGGCATCTTGGTTCACGGTTCATGGGTCTTGGTTCCGCGGGCCTGGCTGCATTGAAGCTCTGTTTTTCAATGCAGGAAGTTTTGCTCCGGTTTCGTTCTTTTGCGTGGAGGAGCATTTGGTGCATGTTTCTTGTAACAGCTCATGTACATGCTGATGTCTGTTGTAAGATATGTTGAGTCGTACTACAAAATACAAGTGCATGTAAAAAATATATATATGTAGACATGGATGGAGAATGTACGCAGGTTCGTAGATGACGGCTCAGGGCAAACATGCGTTGGAGGTACTGTTGTTTGCGAAGCGGGGCAGGGGTACCATATACGTATATATATATATATATATATATATATATGTATACATATGTATATGTATGTATATGTACATGTATAGGTATAGGTATGTGTGTGTATGTATATATATATATATAGATATATAACTTCATATACATATATATATATATATGTATGTATACATATGCATAGCGGGCTAGTGACGGGGTAGCAGAGCCTGCTAGACGGGGTCAGAGCTGGCTAGCGAGGGGAGCAGTCTTCAGGAGTGCTGCACGCATTCCTACTTGCAGCCTACGGCAATTACGGTCGCGATGAACACAGAGGGGCTTGCAGGCGAGGGACAGGCCGGGAACCTTGCTCGAAGAACCAGCGAGTAAAGCTTGATGGAGAGCTGAAGTGAGAGAGTGTGCCACGGTGGAACTGCCTCGCCAGTGCCTGCTATGCGAACTCTCTGTCAGCAAATTGACGACAACTCATCAAAACACACATGAGCTTCGAGCTTCCACAGGCCCTATCTGCACAACCTACACGACCTCTTACTGGCAAAGGGTTTAGCACCATCAAGCCCAACAACAAGACGCCGAAGAAGACATGAGGGCGGTCAGTTTTCTAGGCCTGCATCTGATCCATTCGTCCTTCAGCATTACCTTCACACCAGAGAAGCCTTGCGGGGGCACAACATCAGTGGTGACATGATTGCTAAATTCTCCTTGACCTTTCTGCACCACAGACGGACACGCCG